ACGCACAATAATCTAAGTCACTTGTAGGTATTCCGTCAATAGGTACGCGTGCAAATCAAAGTATCGTATAACATCATGAGCTTCAAGTCAAACGAATGGTTGACGTCAATACCGATGTTGTACGCTTAATTAGAAGTACAAGATATTCATGCACAAATTAATCGCTCATTAATTAAAATTAATGAGCAATTAATTAATTTTCAAATGAATTGATTAAAAAGCAGTCGGCCTGCAAGCCATTTTTCTCTATGGTGCGTGCCTCCATTGAGTCAAAAATTCGCTAACGTCGGGATGGGCTTTCACAGAGGAGCGAGTGTTTTACTTCTTCATTTTTTTGTTCTTATTTATTTATTTATTTATTTACACGAGTTACTTCCGAAGTGATAATAAATCTCATTACTTCGGTTTATTTTTTAAATTAAGAAATCTTCTACCGCTGTATAGTATCTCTTAGTCAAACTATGGCGTTAGTTTTCTTTTATACACAACTATATCACACCACCAGAAGTCACTTTCATTACCTTCAATTAAGTATTTAAATTAACTTAAAGTATTAAGTTTGCCTGAAATATATAAAGCGATCAGCCGGTCACCCACTTGAGCGACTTAAGTATGTTGGGCATCTTGAGCCACCGCTGAGCTTAAGTAATATTTATTGTAAGGGGCAACGAGATCAGACGCGAACCGCGAAAAGTTAAGCAACTCTTGCGCCGGTACGCTGACGGTTACAGCAGGCACATATCTGAGCAATTGTCGGACGCTGATAAGCCGACCAAAATATAACGCTGGGTGTGATGGTTGCAACGCCTTGTGCGCCAATACTGCCACAGCCTGCATCCAGGGCTCACATGCTGCTGCATTTCTGCCCCTGATTTTTGTGTTTGCTGTAACAAGCAACAAACGTGGTTGCTATTGTTTGTACCTAGTATAGGTACAGTATATAGTAGTATATTCCTAGGTACAGTATATAGTAGTATATTCCTAGGTACAGTATATAGTAGTATATACCTAGGTACAACCACGTCTGCTATTCTGATATTACACGTTTGCTATTCTCATGACCTTATCACTGTTATGATAAATCGGTTTAATTAGAACAATTTTTGATAATTATTACCCTACTTATTCTAGTTTTTAGCCCAAATAATGTGTGTTTTTTATTGCAACGTAAATTCAAGCACTGGTGCGTGCGAAATATTTTTAAGTCGAAATTTCAGCTCTTCGGTGTTTAACCAAAAGCAATGTGGTTATAAATGTATTCTCTACTATCATTTATTTTGTCATGTTCTGACTGGAATAATAACTCATCGGAGAAGAATAAATAAGAAGGAATTCGTTGTTGACAAACTCCGCGATCAATAACGATCGTTGCACAGTGTGTCAATGCCTTTGGCGTTCGTTGCAGCCCAAGCTCAATTACGTAGAAGGGTGATGTGTCTGATGGTCAGTGTGCAGTGCATTTGTTGCTTTCAGCTCTTTCCGTTATATTCTTGTCGCTCCTGGACATTTGGACAATTTTTTTTTTAATTACATTGAAAATTATTGAAGGAAGAACGGTTGACCATTGGTCACTCTTCATCAGTTCTTCGTGAATTTTTATAATGATTTAGAAAGCGGTCATTCCAGTTCTAAATTTGAATACCTCAATATTTTAACCAAAGTTTCTTCTTGAATATCATCGTGTTAAATCCAGGATACATCCATGGCAACAGTATCCATGCTACCACGAGTTTACCTCTCGACATCGCTTGTAGAATTGATTGATTGTTTCTGAGAAACGCCCGGGGTAAAAACCTGTCATGCCGCGTTAACCGGCCGCTGTTGATGTTAATATTGTCACAACGAGTTAACCTGCCTGTGAACCGTTCCAATTGTCATACTAAGTTAGCATGTCGGTGCAACTGTTCATGATGTCACGACGAGTCAACCTGCCTGTGTAACCGTTTCTATTGTCATACTAAGTTAGCATGTCGGTGCAACTGTTCATGATGTCACGACGAGTCAACCTGCCTGTGTAACCGTTCCTATTGTCATACTAAGTTAGCATGTCGGTGCAACTGTTCATGATGTCACAACGAGTTAACCTTCCGCATTAGTACTTTTCACACGCAACATTTCGAGTAACCTTTATCATTCTTTCATGTATCCATGTCGCTCTCAGTAGTGTGTTCAACTTCCCTATGCTGGCTGCACAGTAAGGGCTATGACTACGAACTTGTTAAATGATTCCAATGATCAAATATAATCAATGTAATAACGTATACATTCGAATAACAAGTCGCCAAAAAAAATGTTTACATCTTGCCACTTGATGCATTGAATTACGTACAATTTCTTGTCGTAAATTTAATAGTTGTATGCAACATACAACAGGCGGTTTGGTCAGGGTTACTACTACGATCTTGTCCAATGATTAAATTATAATCAATGTAATAACTTATTTGAATAACAAGTCGTAATAAATTGTTTACATTTTGCCACATGATGCATTGAATTACGTACAATTTATTTTCGTAAATTTAATAGTTGTATACAGCACACAACAGGCAGTTTGGTCACCAACCTTGAGATTGGGTCGGGCAGCGCAGTGCGTATCGACCACTTCTCTACGCCGCTGCGGCGCCTCGTGCCAACGCCTCATTCTTCTCTTGATTTTTTTTATCCGGTGTACTGTGACAGAACGTATACGCGTACCGGTAGCCTCTTTCTTCTCTTGATTTTTTTTATCCGGTGTACTCTGACAGAACGTATACGCGTAGCTTTGATAAAATTAAGCTATTTATGTTGAACGTCAAGTCGGGAGACAAAATCAGGCTTTTAGTGTTTGCGCATTTTCTCATTTATGAAAAAGGCGCTATTGTGCTCGTCATGTCCGTCCGTCCGTGAGTTCACGTTTTCGTCGACGAGAAAATGCGATCTCTGTCACTCAATGCAGTGAGTACTGAGTTATATTGTTTTTTTCACCTCTACTCTATGAGATTATTTTGTGCTACCTTGGCGCCTGAGAAGGTTTGGTATCCATGACACTTGACAGCGACTGAGGTTAAGATAACGTCTATCTTGTCGAACGTCTGTCCAATATCTGTGCTGCACTCGTTTCCACATCGATGCTTGTCTGCTAAAATTACTCGTTTGCTTAAACCACAAGTTAACTAGGAATATAAAAGCAAAGACAATGCCACAAAAATTCATCATATCGTTATAGGAAGAGAATTTTTGTGGTTTTGTCTTTGCTTTTAAATTCATGCTTGTCTATTGTCTATTAATGCTATTTGTTTGCTTAAATCGCAAGTTAACCTGGATTTTAAAAGCAAAGACAATACCACAAAAATTCATCAAATCTTAGATATAAGAAGAGAATTTTTTTGGTATTGTTTTTGCTTTTAAATTCCCGCTTTTCTATAGAATTACGACGGATGCGCTGACATCGTCGGAAGTCAGCGACGAATTACGACGGATGCGCTGACAGCGGCATCGCCGACTTCATTACGACACTAACTCGCTCTGATTAGGTTACCAGCGATTCACTTACTCAAATTTTTAGTCGTTATAGGTAAATTCATGATCGTTTCTAAATTAACGCGACGTTTATCGGCGTTTAAAGGAATTGGTTTACAGCTTTTATCGAACCTCAACGTGTACGAGATTCTTTTTTATATATAGGTATAATATATACTATACTCGTAGATAGTAGACGGTAATTAGGTACCTATTTCTCCATAACGAAGTATACTTTTTATATTTTAAACTGGTGTCAATTTTTTTTCACAATTGTGCACGTAATACGCGAGGGCGTGGTACCATCCTAGAACAAGTCTTATTGCCTGATTATTGCCGGTTAGTAGTTGGTTAATTTAGTGGTTTCGACAAATTTTGATATTTTATTTATTTACCTATTTATTATCGTTTACATATTATACTTAACTATATAAGTATGTTGGTGATTACACAGCGATTTTTGTAAAATTTTCGATTCCCAGGATGCAGTAATATTTTTAATCTCAATCGTGCATCAGTTGACCATTTTACACCACATTATAATGAAAATGCTGAATATTGAAGCAAATTTACTTTACCAATGTTATTTAGGATGAGAAGTGAGCTAGATGGAGCTCTGTGCAGTTTCTAGGCCTGTAATGTTTTATAAAAGTACTTGATCGTCACACTTACTTTTTTTGTTACACTTACCTATACGAATATAGTTGAAATGAATAGAATAGCTAGAATTTACAGAATATAGTTGAATTTACAGAATAGTTGAATTTACAGAATAGTTGAATTTACAGAATAATAGAATTTACAGAATACGAATAGTTATCAAGTCATAAGGAGATATCAATGCTGCATGCACCTAAAATTTGAGTACATCTTATCTTATCAAACTCGACGCCCTCCTGCGATTCACCAGATGACGTTGTAAAAGACCACGTTACCTCTGATTGTCTTCTACGGAGACATTGTTGCACTTGTTTCGGAAAATTGAAGGAGTGTTATTTTGGGATTCATTAAATAAGAAATTTGAGGTTGGTGAGCAAACCGCCTGTTGTATGCTGCATAGAACTTCATTTTACGAAAAGAAATTATACCGTTCGTAAATCAATGCATCTGGTGGCAAGATGTAAATTTGAGGTCTCACAGTAATGCGTGGTTTGCTAACAATTATGTCGAACATGACTTGAATTATCCGAAGTTTAATTCACACTTCACTAATCCCAGCTGCAGGAGATGTTACAGAAGATCACTTTAATTATTATTATTCTACAAAGCATTTACCGTGGCATATTGTTCAAACGAACTTCAAGGGCACGTCACACATCAGATTAATAGCAAGCGAAAAATAAGAAGACACAAGAAATGATGGAAACTGATAAAATGACTAGCCGAAATTATATACTTTAGTCACTTCAGGTCTCATGGGCGATGCTCTACGAGATCACTTTAATTAATAAATATTCATTTAAGTACCTAATATGTCACTAACGTGAGCTGTTACCTTGCAGGCGGCTGCTGTGGGGCGACCACCAAGAAGACCATCGTCGGAGGCTGGGCGTGGGCCTGGTGGTTCGTTACTGACGTGCAGCGCCTCTCCCTGGAGGTACGGTGGCCTCCATGGCGACATGACGGCCTCCATGGCGACGTGACGGCCTCCATGGCGACGTGACGGCCTCCATGGCGACGTGACGGCCTCCATGGCGACGTGACAGCCTCCATGGCGACATGACGGCCTCCATGGCGACATGACGGCCTCCATGGCGACGTGACAGCCTCCATGGCGACATGCCGGCCTCCATGGCGACCTGTAGAGCGACACTCACCCGCCCCTGTTTATTTATATTCTCATTACAGCCGACTATTCATGTCATAGTCACTAACGCTGAAAATTTCCTTGCATGACCGCTTAAATTATGCTAACTGCTGGAAATTACCACTATAGTTGTCGCTGAATACCGATAAGTTCCTTACATGATCTCACTGATGTTCTGATTCCACCTCACCATTCATATTATAGTCACTAACGCTTAAACTTTTCATTTGCAAGATAATTAACTATATCACAGATCGAACTCACATTTCTCAGCACACCTGACCATTGATCACACCGTGAGTGCAGTGACTGATATTCTGATTTAAGCGAATAATAAGGAATGATTATAATATATATTTGCTTATAATTATAAGCGAATTATTATCAGGAATAAATTTATTAATAATGACGTGATTGCTGCAGGTGACCATTGATCACACCGTGAGTGCGGTGACTGATATTCTGATCAAAGATAATGAATAAGATGATTAATAACGAGATTATTACTCCAGGTGATCACGATCAAGCCGAGGTGCGGTAAAAATAACATTATTGCTGATCACACCGTGCGTACAGTGACTAATATTCTGATGAAAGATAATGAATAAGATGATTAATAATGAGATTATTGCTACAGGTGATCACGATCAAGCCGCGGTGCGAGAACGTCGAGACGTCGCTGGGTGTTCAAGTGACGGTGACGGGCGTAGCACAGATCAAGATCATGAAGGAGGAGAAGGTCCTGAAGATTGCCTCCGAGCAGTTCCTGGGCATGTCGCAGGAGGAGATGATGAGCACCATCCTTATGACCCTTGAGGGACATCTCAGGGCTATACTTGGTAATGATGAGCACCATCCTTATGATGAGCACCATCCTTATGATGAGCACCATCCTTATGACCCTTGAGGGACATCTCAGGGCCATACTTGGTAACTTGATATACTTGGTAACTTGCTATACTTGGTAACTTGCTATACTTGGTAACTTGCTATACTTGGTAACTTGCCTTACTTGGTAACTTGATATATAGATACTTGGTAACTTGCTACCGTATACTCGGTAACTTGCTATACTCGGTAACTTGCTGTGCTTGGTAACTTGATATATAGATACTTGGTAACTTGCTACCGTATACTCGGTAACTTGCTATACTCGGTAACTTGCCTTACTTGGTAACTTGATATATAGATACTTGGTAACTTGCTACCGTATACTCGGTAACTTGCTACCGTATACTCGGTAACTTGCTATACTCGGTAACTTGCCATACTCGGTAAATCTTCATACTCGGTAACTTGCTATACTTGCTAATAACTTATCAAATCGTCGGTAACTTACCATACACGGTAATTGCTATACTCGGCAACTTGCTAATAAGTTACCATACTCGTCCGTAACTTGCCAAATACGGTAATTGCCATACTCGGTAACCTGCTATGCCTGTTTTAACTCGCCATACTCCTCGGTAACTTGCCATAATCAGTAATCACCACATTCAGTGATGGTCATTCTCGGTAGCTTGCCTCATGTACCTCGAGGATCGTCTCAGGACCATACTCTGTAGTAGCTTGACATACGAGGTTACGTGCCTTTAGGTTATACTTGGTAACTTGTTATCACTTTATTCTATAACTACCTGCAGTGGCGGCTTCTTGCGACAAAGCCTTGATTTTTAATTTTTTATGACCGGGGGAAATCTACCTATCTAAATAGGTATATTTCCAGTAGACAGTTTAACATTGCTTGTAGTAAAACAAACATGTGGACCACAGATACAAATTAAATGAATTCTCTAAGTACGTGAACGTTTAAAATTAGGCTGACATTTGGTAGGCTGACATTTGGGGCTGCACTTGTGTTCACTGTAGTAATATTTATCTGAAAGGAAGCGTGTAAGATGTGCATTTCGTGACGACGCTCTTTTTTGACAGCTACGCTGACGGTGGAAGAGGTGTACCGGGACCGAGACCAGTTTGCGTCCCTGGTGAGGGACGTGGCAGGCATGGACGTGGGACGTATGGGCATTGAAATACTCTCCTTCACCATCAAGGTTAGACGCTGTCAACGTAAGATTCAAGGGCCACTGGAAGAGGGAAGAAGGTGAGCGAACGTATGGAAAGTGGCCAAAAATGCTGCCTCAGACAGTGAGGATACACTGAGGGTCGCGTGAAGGGAAGAACAAAGAGAGATGCTGCGTGGACTGGAAGGCCTCTGACCTCAGGGTTAGTGGCGCTAGGAGTACGTCCTGTCCTAAAGGTGTAGGATGCCAGAGAACTGCAGATCCCCGAACTGGGTTGGGCCCGAGCTGAGCGGTGTATATGGGCGACCAGTCTTTTTCTGTGCCTAGGCGATGCTAGGAGATAAGGAGGGAGGGCGCCAGCCAAGAGTTGGGCACAAAAGGTTAAGATGTTCAGACAAGGCGGGAACGTCTGTAACGATGTGGAGGTGTTAGGTTGAAGTTATCTTGAGGTATCCGCTTGCTATCCTCAAGGCCGTGGTCCGTGTAGGCTCGCCACAGCGGTGCATGAGGCGACGGGGCACTAGAAGGGGGTTCACCTTCACTGTAGCGTTGAGATGGTACCCACGACGTGTTTATTGTAGTATTCATGATGTTGTTACTCACTCTAATGTTATTACCGGTACTCATGTTCCTTTTGATGTTACTCTACTCATGTTATTACTCTTGTATCTCTTGATGTTTTTCTCAATCCTCCCGATGTTGCGCTAATTCCTCCCGATGTTACTCTCATACCTCCCGATGTATACCCTCATTCCTCCCGACATTACTCTCATTCCTCCCGACATTACTCTCATTTCTACCACCATAACTCATGCCTCTTTAATTCCTGCCACCGTTACTCATGCCCCTGTAATTCCTGCCACGGTAACTCATGCCCCTGTAATTCCTGCCACCGTAACTCATGCCCCTGTAATTCCTGCCACCGTAACTCATGCCCCTGTAATTCCTGCCCCCCTAACTCATGCCCCTGTAATTCCTGCCACCGTAACTCATTCCCCTGTAATTCCTACCACCGTAACTCATGCTCCTGTAATTCCTGCCACCGTAACTCATGCCCCCCTGTAATTCCTGCCACCGTAACTCATGCCTCCCGATGTTATCCTCATTCTTGCCGCCGTAACTCATGCCCCTGTATTACAGGACGTATACGACCGTGTGGAGTATCTCACGTCGCTGGGACGCTCGCAGACGGCGGCCGTGAAGCGCGACGCGGACATCGGCGTGGCGCTCGCTAACAGAGACGCCGGCATCAGGGTATCTATGTCATTTTACGGCATCTTACATAATCTTGATTACGTTCATAATGTAATTTATTTCATGGAGTAAATAGTACCATCATTAGCGTTGCCTTCTCAAAAATCTTTTGCTTGTCATTTTACAACATCTTACATGATGCTCAGGGTCAGCACTTATGCTCTCATGCCTCGTCTTAAGATCTATTGCTTGTCATTTTATGACATCTTACATGTTGTTGATAACGTTCTTAATGATATTTATTTCATGGAGTATACAATCATTAACGTTGCCTCCTGAAAAGATATATTGCTTGTCATTTTACGGCATCTTAACATGATATTGATTACGTTTGAATGGTATTTATTTCATAGAGAATATACCATCATTAACGTTGCCTCCTGAAAAGATCTATTGCTTGTCATTTTACGGCTTCTTACCTGATGATGATTACTTTTTGAATTGTATTTATTTCACGAAGTATATACCATCATTAACATTCCATGAAGTGTGATGCAGTCAAATCCTTTAGCCGTCATGCTATAATTTTAGTTTAGTTTTGACATCATTTACGTTCATTTTTGACATCATATACTTTCAGTTTTTACGTGTCTTTCATTGTTTGTTGTACAAAATTTTTAAAATTATTGTTTCATGTCAATGACAAGTATTTTATGATCTTAAATTTACGGTATTACGTACGGTATTCAAACTTCTTATATAATATTAAATTAAAAACTCGTACTCAGGATCTCGTACCAACAACTAACTGCCGTACCAACGAGTTGGTAGTTGGTCAGCTCGTACCAAAACATATTCTCTATAAAATCCTGTTAAATTTCCTCTTTTCGTTGGGTTTAAATAAACATATTCGTTAAAAATTCCTGTTTTCGTGTTATTGAAGTGAACATATTTGTTAAAAATTCCTGTTCTCGTGTTATTGAAGCAAACATTTGTTAAAAATATATTTTCCCTCTCCTGTTTGCCTGCTGTTGATTGTCGTTTCCTCTCCTGTTTCTGTTATCTATCCTGTTTCTGTTTTCTCTCCTGTTTCTGTTTTCTCTCCTGATTCCTCTCCTGTTTCCTCTCCTGTTTCGTCTCTTGTTTCGTCTCCTGTTTGCCTGGTGTTTAGGGAGTTTGATGCACGAAAATGCTAATTTGCTTGTATTTCCCGAGATGATCTGAAGTTTACGTGCTTGAATACACATTTCGTTCATTCAACAGGAAGCTGAGTGCCAGAAGACGGCGATGGACGTGAAGTACACCACCGACACCAAAATAGAAGACAACGCCAGGATGTTTAAACTGCAGAAGGCGCAATTTGACACGGAAGTTAATGCAGCGGTCAGTCATCCATTCATTTATTTCATTTACTTATATTCCATTAATGATATTTATGTGCTGTTGATTGCGAGGTCATAAAATTAATTTTTTCTTCATTTTTTAATGCCTTTTGGTCGTTCCTTCTCTTCATGCTATTTTTAAGCTCGTTTGCTCCTCTCCATTTCATTTATCCATTTCTCATCTCGTTCCCTCTTGTGGTTTTTGGTGTCTCATAATCTACAAATTTGCACTAGTATTTTTTATATTGACTAAAGATGTTGATTCTTATATATTCATTCGTCATGCGGTTTTAAATTATCACCTGGTCACCGAACGTTCGCCGCAACTTTCGAAAGATAGTTGCCGTAATGCCGGCAACTATCTTGTAAAAGCTAGCCTGATCTGGATAAAATCTCAATCGCTGGTATTTAATTGCACTTGCTTGTTCTTCAAATTTTCTGTTCATACGTAAAAAAACGTAACTTTCAGTAAAGAACACTTTTAGAGCAACACGTTTAAAATACCAAAATCCAGCGTAACAGACATTGAGCTGCTTGATGAAGCTACATGTATATGGGCACAGCTACAAGATCTAGCGATCTCAGTGACGTAACAAGAAGGCTGAACTGAAAGACGGAAATCCTCGTGGGTCGACCTTATATAGTTGAACCAAGGTCACGACCACTGCGGTAAGGTTGGACTCAAATGTTACTGAGGTGAATACTCCAGACGTGGCTGTACGACGTAAGATGTACGAATATGTACGAAAACTAATGCATATGTACAACAAATCAATATGTACGTGGCTCAGATATGTACGAAAACAAATGCGCATGAAATTAATAAATTGAACACGGTTAACAGTGAACGACTTCCATCGTTTACAACATTCGTTCTCTATATTTTTTTCTCCCGATATTGTTCATCTATGTTCGGTTTTCGTATTTGACCCTGGGCAAAATTTTTGCTTGAATTTAGCAGTTTGATGCGCAAAAAACTACTTGCTTGTATTTCCCGAGATGATGTGAAGTTTGCGTGTTTGTAGACTCATTAATCTCTTAATGAGATGAGGTCATTAAGAGCGTCATCAGAGATGGCGTCATCAGATGACGTCCTGGAGCTGTTCTATCAAGCCTTGCTTGGTACATGTAGCAGCCTAAGTGCACGTAGCAACCAATTTATTATCTGTGATTCGTAGATTTAGCTTGAAAAGCCGTCGTTGATGAGCTGGCAGAGTTACGAACTTCTAAGTATTTTTACCACATTTCTATTTAACTTCACTTCTCTTTGTTTGTCTGCTACAAATCAATCGATATTTAACACACTTCTACCTGACCAATCGATCTGAAATTTTGCACACTTACGTAAAGTTGGAGACAATGCACGAATCAAATATTTAACAGAATCACCAAATAAAATAAAATAAAATATTTTTTTAATAAAATATGAAATTCATTGTCCATGTATAACATCGGAGACACCGGCCTCTTTGGAAGTGTGGTCTTTAAAAAGTACTTTTTAAATGCATATTTTTATCGTACGGCACTCCATGTACATATATAGAACAAAGAGACCTTCAGCTCCGATGGTACTAACTAATCCTGGAACTATTGTTATACAAATGCCAGAAACGCGTTAAAAAATTGAGCAAAACTTTATTTTCTCTGCACCAATGATTGGAAACTGTTACTAGATGCATAAGTATTGCCTCTTATTCTTAGCGAAACATATTTTCTAGTATAAAATTATGTTTAGATCAAGTTTTATCAAGTTTATTTTGTGGGTTTTTATCAAGTTTTTCTTTTATTTAAAGCAAGCGGATGCAGCACTGGCATACGAGCTTCAGGCAGCGAAGCTGAAGCAGAACATCAGGAACGAAGAGATCCAGATCGAGGTGGTGGAGCGCAGGAAACAGATCGAGGTCGAGGAGCAAGAGATCAACAGGAAGGAAAAGGAGCTCATGGCCACCATCAAACTGCCTGCCGAAGCTGAGAGCTACAGGCTCGAGACCATAGCGCAGGGTAAACGTACTCAGGTGGGTGTAAAAACGTAAAAAAACGTAAACGTAATAACGCAGGGTAAACGTACTCAGGTGGGTGTAAAAACGTAAAAAACGTAAAGGTAATAACGCAGGGTAAACGTACTCAGGTGAGTGTTTGGTAACGCAGGGTAAACGTACTCATGTGGGTGTCTGGTAACGCAGGGTAAACGTACTCAGGTGGGTGCCTGGTAACGCAGGGTAAACGTACTCAGGTGGGTGCTTGGTAACGCAGGGTAAACATACTCAGGTGGGTGCCTGGTAACGCAGGGTAAACATACTCAGGTGAGTGCCTGGTCAGTGGGTGCTGGTAGCACTGTGTCACGCAAAATAGTCAAAATCCACATTATTCTAGCTCAAAATTTTAGAGAAAATAATGCCGTTCTCCAAAGTCTACCTATATCATATTGGTTAATACTCATTCTTGATTATATCACTCAAGACAAGTAACATTCAGGGTGACAGATTCATGAACAATGATACAATTGAATCTCTTCTTGTGCGTGAACAGAGAGTTTTGTAAGAATTATTCACGATAAACTCTTCCCCAGACGGTCGAGACAGCCCGCGCCGAGGCAGAACGTATCAAGCGGATCGGTGAGGCCGAGGCGTACTCCGTGCAGCTCGTGGGAGAGGCTGAGGCTGACCGTCTCCGCATGAAGGCTCAGGCTTACAAGCAGTACGGCGACGCTGCCGTCATGGCCATGGTGCTGGAATCCCTGCCACAAATTGCTGCTGAAATCTCGGCTCCTCTTGCCAAGACCGACGAGATCCTCATGATCGGCAGCAATGACTGCATCACCAACGGCGTCACCAAACTGGTGTCGGAACTGCCCCCTACCGTGCAGGCGCTGACCGGCGTCGATATCTCCAAGGTAATGTTGTATTTTAGGTGAACTTAATGGTGGTGAAACTGGTGTCGGATCTGCCCCCTACCGTGTCGGAAACTGGTGTCGGAACTGCCCCCTGCCGTGCAGGCTTTGACTGGCGTCGATATCTCTAAGGTAATGTCGTGTTTTAGGTGAACTGAATTTCAGAATTCAGTTCAGCTAAAGTGAATTCTGATCACCTAAGTGATCAGAATTTTTGTATGACACTCACGTTACAAGGTGTTTAGGTAACTGGGCTCCAAACATTCCTTACTGTGTAAGGAATGTGGACGTTAAACAAACTCGTGTTGAAGGAACATCAACTGGCGTCGAGGTTTTAATTTGGAAGAGATGAGATGATGATATTAGTTAAGTGCAATGTATTGAATAAGGTAAGTTATTGACATAAATAACAGGCTAGTAATTTTTGGGATTATGTTGTCGGTTATGAGCTTGTAGGACGGTAGGATAGGCTTGCCTAGCATGCATAGCTTGAGGTCAAATTTCCTACGGTAAGTAATAATTATTATCAATGTCTGCATGATGTCCGTGAGTCTTACATAGCCAGCAGGCAACATGCAGACGATTGGTCTTGCTTGGAAGCAGAAAATAAAAAAAAAGGCTGGGTTGTTTGATGGCAGTTTTATTTATCTCACGGTTGGTTTCAAGCCTTTAGTTGCTACGCCTTTTTCCTCAAAGCTTTTATGTATACTTATGAGCTCGTTTGTGTTGAAGCTATTTACTGCTGTATTTTATTTTGTATGTATAATATTTGCAACGCTGATTTAAAAATTTTTTTAAATAATACATATTTGCAATGCCAATTTTTAAAAGCATTTCAATCACTAAGTAGAACATAACTTTTCTGATATTCAACTGATTTTTTTTGTTCGAAATATTCAGATGCTTAGAACTGTTTTGATACACGATCTTTGTGCATGCCCTAAAACAATCAAACTTCCGGCACAAATTTGGTCAGTTCGCATTTATCACGTTGGGTATTTTGCTACAATCTTTGCGATAAATTCATTGCATTACCTCTGAACTTTCATGTTTGTTAAAAAGTGACGAAACGAAGCTCCAGCAGATAAAGGTATTCAACTTTTCCATCCTCGTACAGGTGTTGTCGAACGTCGATATCAACAAGGTAAGCAAGTGCAATGGTCACATCATATCAACACATTATCACATGATATCTTCACATATCACACGATATCAACACATAAGTGTGCCTGTTGAAGGTGAGCGCATCAATGTTAATGTGCCAAGTTCGCTCGAGATCGTTCATAAATTCATCGTAAATTAAGTTCAGTTGAGGGTCAAAGCATTAAAATGAACGTAAGTGGGCCTTAATAAATCCACTAATACGTCTTCTATTGCGAAGTTGCTAATAAGAATTTATCTCTTATATTGAATTCGCTAGATGTGCTGTATTAGTGAATGTGTTATAAAAAAATTTCTCTATATTTTTATATTGACGGATTGCAGCTAATTATATTGACGGATTGCAGCTAATTGTATTGACGGATTGCGGCTAATTATATTGACGGATTGCAGCTAATTATACACATCTAGATGTGTATAAGAGACAGGACGGATTGCAGCTAATTACATTGACGGATTGCAGCTAATTACATTGACGGATTGCAGCTAATTACATTGACGGATTGCAGCTAATTATATTGACGGACTAAAGCTAATTATATTGACGGACTAAAGCTAATTAAACATGTTTGTCCGCAGCTGCTGAACAAGATACCAGGAGTGTCCGGGGCGGGCGTACCGACTACGCGACCAGCGGCCGTGTGAGCTCCCGACCAGCTTCTCGTTTAAGAATTTCCCTCCAAAATACTCAACTCTGCTATGTTACTAACAAATATCCTTCTGTATTATTATTATACTCGAAAATGTTCTACTGGCTGATCATACTTAATAATATCCAAATGAGACATAATATTATAAAATAAAAACTAAGATGGGGATGTACCGCTTGTTGATGATGGAACTGAGTTATATGTTCGAAAACTACAAGAGTTCGATGACAACTTGTTTCTCAGCTAAAAAACAATATAACTGCCTGACAATTAGATTATTAATGTCCATTGACCAGGAACTTTTTGCATGCGCTTTAATAATTTAACTAATTGATTCGAACGTCATGCAGTGACATGTACAATTTCAGTCTCGAGTTAATTAAAGACTAACGAGGCTAAATTGACTGTCGAGGCCATTAAACGCCTTAGAACTGATGAGGCCACTCCGCTCCTTATAATTTATGAACCTGGTGGTCAATAGTATTTTGAATAATTTTAAAAGCAACGATTTTTTTCTTACACTCGCTAAGCTAAGCGGTTGGCACGCATGTTGCCCTCTACGCTGCGGACGGAAATATGCTAAAATATTCACTTAAAATGTCGCCTTCAAAAAGCTCTTGGAAGTCAAAAAACTTGTTAGAATTTAAAGCTTTTTCGATGCAACTAAATAATATATATTATTAATTGAAACTAATGGACTGGAACTGTGGTTTTTATGGAACATAATCAGTTCAAGAAATAGATTTCATTTAAATTTACATGGATGATATTCTACTATTTGCATGATGATAGAATACGCTTGAACAAATTAATTTCATTTTACTTGACGAGCCCACAAATTATTTGCTTTTGTTCACTAACTAACAATCATTTATCGTTATTACGTTTCGCAGCCAAGTCACGGTCTTTAAGAAACAGATGAGTAAACAGTATAATTTTCTGCTAATAGCGATCATAAGTCCTGGCGTCGTTTTATTACTTAAATATCCAGGTAATAAAACTTTGAATAAAGAAAGATAAATGATTTTACTTAGTAAATTTCAGTTTATTTTATTTCGATTATTTACTAAGTTTTCTTTCATTTTACAGAGCGAGCTGAGCGCCGTGCGTTCGTAACGCACAGACGTCGTCGCGTGCATGCACCGCGAACGTCGGACTTACGTCATAAAACGTTTATAACTCTTAAGAAAAGTACGTTTTTTATAGGAATAGTTTTATGTATTTGCCTCACTCTCACCAATAGCTTCTGAAAAATCAAATTTATAATCGTCTCAAAACTGATAAAATGTGTTTTTTTTTTATTTTTGAATTGGTAGCTTGTGTCGTTTGTTGACCGACTTGTTTCTTGTGGGTGATTTTAATTACCGCTTAAAACATTAATTAATTAATGTCATCTGTTCACTCGAACACTTATATTGGTTCGCTCCTCGAAGTCTATAATAAATTATTTAGAACAGAAAAGGCTATATGTCAGGGTCTGGCAGCACATGAAGTATTTTCTCGTAGTTTATTGTCGTTCTTTATTTTTAATGAAGAGAACGTATAAAGGCCTGCTTTCTGCTTGTTTTTATTGAATGATAAAGGAATCAATTTTTGTGTAGGATTAGTTACGCGACTTACAAGATGCACGTGTGTAAAAGCTGTCTTTAAATGTCTACAGATAAAAATGTAATTTTATGATAATATTACGTCCTTAAGTCTCAAACCTTCATTTCAGTTTGCGAAAAAGACTTCAATCGTAAAATCGTTAATAGACTTTTAGAAATTGCGGTATTGAATGAGGTTTTTCTAGATTTACTTGGTATCATAGCTGCCATGTCTGCATTACCTGAGAGATAGACTGCAGTACGTTAGTCTTACTTTAATTTTGTTCGGTAAGTTGTTCTGAACATTTTATCATAGTAACAAACGCTGTATTATGAGATATGAATCCATATTAACGAAGCTTTGATCTCTATTCCCAAGGTTACCGTTCATGTTAAGTAAATATTTTGCTTTTGGTTGTTTTGAATTACATTAAAAATGCATGGGTAATGTCATTATGATACCGTAGCCATCTTTATATTTGCTCAGGATACTCATATTTGTTTGATCTGTCAAGGTTTGTACACGCGCCCAGCTGGAAAAATGGAATCTTTTACTGAAATTGAATGGCAGTTTTTCGGTAGCGTATTTGTTGTATTAACGAACAGGAATTGCTAACCGCCCTTAGCGAGAATATCTCTGGCTTTATCTCTGCGTTTCTAAAAGAGGTTGGTCGAGCGTTTTCTTTAACTAATACTCGGGTCGCTAGGATGTATTGTACAACGTATTTTTTGTATAAACTTTTACTGTAAATCTCGTATGAAAAGACATGTCATTACAATCTGTTTGGTGCTTTCAATGTAGTTAACTGTCAATCTGTTGGCTCTCCGTTCATCTGTTCTATTGGTATGGCAGGAAGGCTATCAAAGACAGGAAGGCTATCTATTGATATACCTCGAAGGCTATTAACCCGGACATAATTTTAAGCAGCAGTAGAGTTCTGTAATCGCACTGCCATGAGGGAGAAAATCCTCTCTAGTTAGCTTTTACATGTCGAAATTATGCAGATTTTGTACTCGTCTAATCGTTGTTTATGGGGCGTAGTTCGAACATTTTAAGTATTGTAGTACAACTCGCTTGCGACGACTAACAATATAAATAATCATTGCCATCATCTCTTGATGCTTCCAGTGAGAATTTTGTCATTAATCTGAGACTCTGAGCGTTAATAATACTTACTACTGCTCGAAGTGATGTAAGGGTACATGGTGGACTTATAAATCGTCTTGTTTACTGAATGCATGTAAAGAATGCATCTAATGCATGTCATTCTGTTTACTGAATGCACATAATCGAAATAAATATTCTTGAAGACTCGTGTAAACGAAATGGGCCAAGGCATATGAATGGAAACTGATGCATGTACACGAGACTAGAAACCATCAAAGCCGACATGTTGGTAAATTAAACAATGTAAAGATTAACAAACACTGAACAATTATGAACTGAATTATCGGGATTATGTCCATCATTGGCCGGGTTGCTGGAAGCATCGTTGCATCGATAGTTAATCATTGTCCTAATCATCTCGAGATAGTTGTTTTCCTTCACCATTTTGGGTTTGTTGATAATTACCTTTAACTTTTGGGAATAGTTGTTTCATTTCCTACTCAATCTCATGGTAGTTTATCACTTCTAATGATGTTTGGTGAACTGCAGTGAATCCACGTAAAGTATTGAACTGTTCGTTGTTGCTGTCTAGTCGTCGCATTCACTGGGCATTCAATAGATCTCGATCACATGAATTCATCTGATGGATGCAAGGATGAATGAATGATAGTAGCATCTGTGACACGTTGGTTACATCTGAATATAGCTTTTGAAGCTTGGCGTTGTCTATTTTGATACTTCATTAATTATAACATACGTGCATATGTAGGCTTTGCATCCCTTATTTTTTGTATTATGTTTCTTATTGCAAGACTTAACTACATGATTATCATGCATCTGAACTCGGCTCTGAATTATTTAATATCTCGGTTATCTTTTCATTTAATTGTACCAACATAACTCTGGATGATAATATTACGACGTGATAATTTTTGAATGTTAATGAATAATATCTTGTTCTTTAACATTTTTATTATTTTTATCCAAGGTTTCTCACTTTGTGTGCACACTACTTAATGTGCAGGTCCTTCTAATAATGAGATTTGAAGGTTTTCTTGGTTTGGTTCCAGCGACTTATACGTCAATATTTTTTTTTATATAATGTATATCCTTAGCTTATTTCGAGGGCATTAATTCATAAAGTTCCGAAGCAGTGCTTTGACTGTAAGTGCTGCGCCGGTGATCTGTCAGTTAAATTTAATGTTTTTGATGATTTTTTTTATCTTGCATAATACTTTATCTCAACAATGGCCTAAAATGTAATTCCGTTAGACTGATTTTATGTCAGTGATGAACTTCACTGATTTATATCGTGAAGATTAACAATTATTTGTACTTGATGATAAATTTGTTGAATCATACCCCGTATTACAGTGGATTAAAATCTCTTATGGCCATTGTTAATGGGCCATTGATTTTCAATTTTATTTATTCATTCATGCAGGAGCACACATTAACATGAAATATATAAGAAACCCTAATATAATAGCAAGGCTTCCCAGTGTAAATGCCCATTATGGACAATATCTGCAACATTCTCATTATGTTTGTTTGTTTATACCTCAATGTACCAGAGCCGTGCTTGATGGTAGCATGTCCAGTCATATCCTCATTAATCAGCTTCTTTCAACCACTTAAGCAATGCTTGAGAAAAAATCGTTTTCTACGAGTTCCTTAATTTTTGTTGTATTTTACATTTTTTTGCCATTCAAGTCTAATCGTTTTTTACGGTACTTCATAGTTTTTGTTGTATTTTACATTTCTTTGTCATTCAAGTTTCAAAATTTAGTATTTTTTCTTAGATTTTGCAAGCATGTACTGCTAGCTGTTTTTTAAATTGATTACATTTATATATTTAAACGAAAACTCTTTTTTTTTTCTCGAATTGCTACTCCCGTATACAGGAAGGATAATACTCAATAGTGTGAACTAGTGTTAAAGTTAACCTGAAGTGTTAACAGTAGAACTTGCGAATGGATTTACCACATCAGAGCCAAAGTTTATTCAGTGCAAAAATTTAGAATAAATCCTGCTGTCCTGAGATGCGTAACATTTAGAATGAACTAATAATTATTTTTACACCGCAGCGCTTCGAAAAATTAAATGATTTGTAATTTATAACTGTAACTTATATATCTAACTCGGCGTGGAACTTTGCCATTAGTTTTTATTTGTTTAGGATTCGCGTGTCCTGCTTTTGAATATCATCTTTACTTATGTTTAAAGCGCATTACTGTGTAGAGTTAGTAGACTTAGCCGTCGTGAGAGTAACTTTTATCTCTCCACACAGCTTATCTAATACTTGCAATCGTGTAGTTCTTCTTTTCTTGATAACATTTTTCATGATGAATGAAATTTTTACAACTTTGCATACCATGTATTTCCTTATAATTAGTCTATGTACTTTCATGAGCGACTCATGCAGAGCATTACCTTTATATCTACATAATGTTTACCCCACCTGAACTTACGTTACTTATATCATGTGATGTCGGTATATATCATGTGATGATGTATAATATCATCATGTGATGATGTATAATATCATGTGTAACTGCATAAAATCTATACACTATTTTTATTTACAATACACAAGTTGCAATAATGTCGCACTGCTTTCACTATTTTCTTGTGTTGATATTTTGACCATAAATATACTTTCTGTTAACTTGACTTCTTTTCGTTATTTTATTTCGTTCCTTTGCAATATTTTAATAAAATCTTATTTTTGTGTAAGAATTACGCATGACATTTTTTAACTACTCGAATTATTTAGCCAAATTTTCACGGTTTTATTTGTTTAAAAGTTGGCGGAAATTGAGCTCAATCCGGGAAAATTATATGTCAGTGAGACTGTTTTAAATACATGAGAGTGCATTAGTAGCTCTAGGATCGCTGTACTTAACTTGCAGGATTGTGATGTCAATCCTACGGCAGATATTGAAGGCCGCCTTGCCGCTGCCTTTTACATGGAGGAAGTTTACAAAATAATCTGACGCCGTACTATAAAAAATAGTACGAGTTCGATTATTCTGTCAATCAATCACTGACGACCCCTCAATCTAAACCCACCAATCTCCAACGAGAAATTGGTCGCTACGTAGACTTAGGTCGCTACGTGTACATAGGCCGCTACGTGTACATAGGCCGCTACGTGTACTAAGACCGCTACGCGGACTTGGGCCGCTACGTGGACCTAAGTCGCTACGTGTACATCGGCCGCTACGTGTACTAAGACCGCTACGCGGACTTGGGCCGCTACGTGGACTTGGGCCGTTACGTGGACTTACGTCGCTACGTGTACATAGGCCGCTACGTGTACTTAGCTCCTAAAAGTCATCGAAGACCAGAGAGTGTATCTTATTGACGATGTACTTATTGCTTTTCTCTATTTGGCGAATCAAGTTTTTTGGGGGATTGAAAAGTTCAAATAAAAGGTTTCCGAGAAACATTTTTGTAGAATTTACAGCGCTTTGAGTATACAATCATTCATTATCAAGTAGGTGAAGAGTTATTTAGAACGCTTACATTGAAATTTGTAAATTACATAAGCAGATACAAAGGCTATCTTAGCTACGGTTTAAAATCAAAGATAAAATACGCTGAGAATAATTCCAATTTCCTGACAAATCAAGTGGTTTGCAAATTGATCGCAGGAGACTCGCCCCAGCTGATGAGAGCCTCTGTTATGGACAGTACCGTAGTGTCGGTGCACCGCATGACGATGCTGGTGCAGACTTCCATGCGTAAGTACCATCACGGGTACTTAGTCCGTTATGGTACTGAGGTTTCTACAGGTACGTAGGTCGCTACAGGTACGTAGGTGGCTACAGGTACGTAGGTCGCTACAGGTACTGAGGTCGCTACAGGTACGTAGGTCGCTACAGGTGCGTAGGTCGCTACAGGTACGTAGGTCGCTACGTGTACAAAGGCGAGTTTTAATAGTACGGCCCGCAGGTCGATATATACGGCCCCAAGGTGTGGCCCTGTAGACTGCATACCGTGACGCATTTCTAAGCAATGCAGTGGTCCCCCTTTGAATTATTGTTCTAGCTGTGTAGCCTGGGTGGAGATGTTTTAGTTTTTTTTCAAGTTTTAGGTTTCAATTTATTTTCCCTGAATACAATTTTGCAGTTGTAATTTTTATAAAAGATTATCGCTTTCTCTTAACTTCGTATGGTTCAAGATTTTTCTGTTATACGAGACTGGAAATTTGGTAAGGTTATCGTAGCGTTAGTGCCTTGCATGTCAATGCCGCGTGGAGTGAATTGTAGCATCGGAGTTGTGGTGGAGTTAGTATATACTTAACGCCATAGGCATAAATCTTACCATTATTTGCATAGATTCTAGGTGAAAGTTGTGACATGATTTGTAACGAAAATTTTGCAAAATTTTCATTATAAAATTTTCGAAGATACAATCTTGAGTTCTATTATGTCTCCAATTATTCTAATATCAAAATACAAGTCAAATTTTGAGTGCCGCTATCATGACTAATTTCATTGTTTGAATGGCAAGTATCGTAAAAGTAAGATTTTGAAACGATTACTTCATAAGTTTCGCCAGTTTTTGTTAAATTATAAACTATACAGGCGCCCATAAACTATCCAGGAAACAACAAACGATATAGATTTCAACTAATTTTTAAGGGGCGCCTATAGAATATTTTGGCCACAAGACACACAAAGTTCGTGTTTAATTGAAATTAAATCTGCCAATTAAATCAATTGAAATTAAATTTGTTGTACGGTAATGTAACTTTAATGGAAACCTAATATTCTAAAATAATCTGATCTCCATGCATGTCACCTCTGTATTTTTTGAAATGTTCACCGATTTTCAACATTGATATCCTATTGGGCTTTTTCCCGAAACCATTCAAAGTATTCACACAACAAAAAACATTTTTATGCCCATAATATTACTCATGTAATTACAAATTTTTTCTAATTGTAGCTTCTAATTTGCATGGCAGGCTTCGAGTCGACGTGGAAAGATTCACATTATCTTAGCACGGCTGCATCATTCATCGCAGCATTTATTTCATCGTATTTTTATACACAAACGTGTCCCTATACTCGTTGTTTTATTTCCTTGCCCTCTAAAGCAATATTTATTATAGTCTGTGCTCTTCTTAATAATTTTTAAAATATCAAAGATATGAATGCACCATTTCAAAATTATTGATTACGCTGTGGAGATGTTTAAAAATTAACATAGTATTTAACAAATAAAATTCGTAACTGTTGATCATCTTAAAACACGAAATTTGTGAAGGATATCTGCTAAGGAAATGAGTTTTTCTTCAGATTTTCGAGATCAATCTGTGAAATTTCTTCATCTGGAACTAGAACAATGCCATCAGAGGAGCAGTTAATTGACCTCACGCTATATACAGTTCGGTGGCGTTCGCAATGTAAGTAAATGTGTAAGTAATTCTTTCTGAGATTGTTTATCCGAATTAATTTCTTAATCTTGTTGCTATTGCGAAAGTTAATGTAATCACGTTACAGTTCACACCAGTTGCCTCAGCACCAAATGGGGATCAATTCAGTTTACATCCTTAAAAACTCTCGAGATATAAATAGATTGTTATAAATAAATAATTGCTCTGTTTATGAGGTTTAATGTTATAGAACCCTCTTGAAAACGCAAACGAGTGGGGGGTGGAAAGAAACGCACGACAACGAATTAAAGTTAATTATATTGATTGTGATAGTTTAGAGCTGTGTCGCCTCAACCGCACCCCGAAGCAGCGGCAAACTTCCCGAGAACGTCGAGAGCGTTGGAGCGCTGCCGCTGCACCGCACGCGGTTAACAAGAAGTGAATGCCTGCAATTAATGAATATAGATTTTAGAATATTGGGATTGATCTTAGTTAACTGAAGAATGATGCCAGGAACATAGTTCTGGAAGCTATATATATAAATTAATCATTTATGGGATATAACACAGAACATTCACTTTTACAGTTCACGAGTGAAACAAGCATTAGTGATCACAATGTGTGGGTTGACTAAATGAACTGAAAGTAGAGGGCCGACCGGCATGTCACTCCAAATCCGTGCACTGCGACCCACCTCTACCGCAGTAGGCTTGCATCGAGTTCCACAGACGACGCAGACTGCAGCAGTCAACGTAGTCGGCCTCCTGCGCGCCGTCGGGTGCCAGCGGCTCCATGGAGTGCCACCTCGCTGACGGAGTTGACCGATGAAGGACTAGCCGCTCTCCCTCCTTACGCGAAGATCCAAACACACAGATACGGAGCGATCCGTACACGCGTTGCAGTAGTGTGTAGAGGAGGTCGTCATGCGGTGATAGTTGGTGATGAACTGGGCTGGCTGGGCATGCTGGCAGGGCTGAAATCTCGAGGTTGCGGGTTAACCTCTATATGGCGAAATTAAGTGGGCACAGGTAAGCACGTCAATGGAGACAATACAGTCGGAAATTAATTCAAGTTTAGACATGGGGAACATTGTGATCACTCATTGCTTCAAATAAAATGAAATGAATGATAGCAGTTTTCAACAAACCCAGGGTTGCTGTTCAGCGTCAGGAACCGGCATGAATAATAATCAGCTCTTAATTAACAACAGAAGGAGCTTGTTCCTTCAGCGCCGGGTTGTCCAGGCTATCGTCCCGCGCGAGGAAATTTTAGTCGCTTAATCATGAACATCACGGGGGAGGCTATGAATGGAACAGCGATGTTCTAAAGCATTTAAAATGGTTCAATTTTCCCACGCTAATGAAATGCAGAGATAATTTGCTTAGCCCATCGTAAAACCGCACCGAATTAGAGCGTTTTTAGGGAGAGTTGCTTGTTGATAACGGGTATAATTGAAATTATTATTTTAGTCACTCTCCTAATTAATTTGAGTGAATATCTAAATTGGAACTTCAAAAGGAAGATATGAAGGTTTAGGGTCAGTTTATAGTTGAGTTGAAGAAAGATGCTGCTGACCAACACCTGTATTTAGGTATTGACTTTGTAAAACTCGGGAGGTGGCATAATTCAATTAATAAACATAATTCTATACGCGCTAACAGAATGGTTTGGGAACATTTGAACTGAACTTAAGCTAAGAAAAGCTTTATGAGAGTAAATTCAGTCAAACTTCATTGGCAAAATCAAGAAAGGTTTCTGGAGTGAGTTCAAATACATTGCAAGGCGGATCTAGTAAGTATTAAACCATTATCATGATATAGATTTCGTTCGTCTAACCGATTATGTTATTCAGTGACAATTCCACTATTTAATTGTCAATACAATTATCAGGATTTAATTCTAGAGATGGACTTGGCTGCTTATCCCTCACACAATGAATGCCGAGCGCAAAATGAGACTTTGCAACAACGCGGCCTAGATGGTTCTCAAAATCGAACTCATAATTATTATAAGTTAACACTATGATGTATTTTCTTTACGTTAATAAAATATTCAATATCTTTGAATTACAGAAGCGTTATTCGTGCTTTAGATTAGAAAAAGAGAATTTTCTGATTGAATATTTTATAATTATATAATTGTGAATAATGACGAAGTAAAATTTGAATTTTAGGTAATTAAGTTACATGTAGTTACAAAAATTGGTCATTAACAAGTTTGGAGAATTAACGAAAGGTATTTACGACGTTTACAGTAATATATGTTTAGTACGAGATATGAATTCGAGGCGCTACGTTTTACATGACCAATATTATTTGTTGATGGTTACGTGGGTTATCCTCAAACTCTCCTCAACATCATGACTGTTGATAACTGTTTTTGATCATGTGATTATTCACTACATGAAAATCACCTGTTGACATAAGAGCTACAATGAATTTTTAGCCAGGATTTGTAATGCTTTGTTGAGAGTCTGATTCTGGGGTCAAAGACAGCGCTTACTCAATAAAAAGGTTGGCTATGAATTGCGTTAATTAAAGTTTTATAATTAGATTTATCTTAGTAGATCGCCACTCATACCCTACTTGCGTTGAGCGCAGTTTCGGGTTCAAAAATATTTTAACGCATCAGCGTGACCGTGGAAGACCCTACCTATATAGGTCATAATATTGCTGCAAAAATTGGCACCCGAGCCTGAACTACTGAACACTACGACTCAACTAGAAGCATTAGAAAACGTTTGTATCCCTAACTGAACTATTTGACTACCACAACCTTCAAACTTCATTGTCAAAGGCTTAATTCAGTTTCATAACCCATCAAAACAGAAACCTAACGAACATTTTATGAAGTAAAACTTTAATGACAGTGATATCATGTAAAAAAATGGCACCTGGCGCGTGGGTACAGTTGTTAGATGAAGAAACAAGTTGCCATTATAACAGTTGTGCGCGTCTAATTTTGACAAGTTGGGTCCGAGAAAGAGTGTATTGTGCAGGTGCAAGATATAAAAATACGGTCATAGAGAAAATTTAACAGATAATCAGTTTAAATAGTTTAAATCAGTTTAAATAGATAATCACAAACTTCCGATACTAAGGCGTGAGAAATCATTTCCGTTTAAGTTTTAAAACTCTGTTGTCAAAAATATGTCATGCGACTGAAAATTTAGGTTTGTCAATGATATTCACTATTATGCAACCCAGAGTTGCTGCCAGCGTCTGCAACTCCAGGGAATAATATTCAGCTCTAAGCAACTAAGTTCCAGCTCGTCTCGACAGCTCAGTGTTTTCCCAGCAATCGTACCGCGTCAGGGAATTAGTTGCACGGTCATAAGCTGCCCATAATGTAGGAAGCTATTAATGGAACAGCAATCTTCTCAAGCATGACAAATGGTTTATTTTTACCACGTTGACAAGATGCAAAGATAATTTAACGGTAGGGTGAGTCTGCCACCTTACCGTGCTGGCGAGTCTGCCGTTGATGAATGCGTGGTTTTTCTTCAACTTTCTCTCGACATCCTAGCTGTTGACTAATACGTATGTTTATAAAATTACTCACTATATGTAATCCCTCTATTGATGTAACAGCTACGTTTAATTCATGGCTTTGATTCGAGATACTTTGGTACGTGACTAATTTTCAGCTGTTGAGCACACAAAGCGTGTGTTCTGCAAGGTGCGAGATAGTAAACTGCAACAATAAAGGAAATTTAAAAGATAATCAATATGAACAGTACATCACCGGTAATCTGACGGTGGGTTCACCAGCGAAAACTCGCATTCCCAAACATAACATAACATAACATAGAGATGTCGGCGCTGAAGTGTAGGCCTGATGTGGCCTGTCGCCGATTCTTTTCCTTTTCGTGCCTTGATAGTTTGAAGTAGCTACCAGACTTCCACCGGGTTCGATAAGGAGCTAGGCATTTCAAATCTGAACATATATTTTTCCATAGCTTTATCTAGTCTGTTCTTGAACGCGTTCATGCTGGGAGCGCCAACGATGTCATCCGGGAGGCTGTTCCACATGTCGGTGATTCGAAGCGAGAAGAAATTTTGTCGCGTGGAGAAGTTGCAGCGCAGTTTTTTTAGCTTATAGCCGTGGCCCCTGGTGTTGGTTCTTGTTTCAAATTCTAGTAACCCTTCAGGGACCTTGTATAGACCATGAGTACGACGCTACGGCAGATCCTTTGAGCCGAAAATATATCTTCTAATAACCTAAGAAAAAAAATCAATGACTATAATTCTCATCTGAACCGGAACTACTATATACACTCCGTGCGAAGTCAGCTCATCAGAACTATTGTCAACCCCAAAATTGCTCACCCTGCAGAATTTTTCAAATTGACCTGAAAGTGATAGCCGGGTGAGGGTCCAATTTTCATCCAGTAGGTGCAAGAAAACATTTACTCAAGTAGTGAATAATTGAAATACGTTCATAAATGATATATAAAATGTAGTCAATTTAGACGCACTTCGACGCATATTCTTATTACACGAGGCGCGTCTGCCTAAGAACACGTTACGAGTGAGTCTGACATAATTTCAGCAGCTCAGATGAAAGAAAACTATTACATCAACGAGACAACGACTTAACTATTCTTACTTTACGGCTTTCAAACTCTTAAGTCGTCAGCTGGATTCGGGATCATTAATCCTCAGAGCAGAAACATAATTAATCATTTTATTACTGAAATATTAATTTAAGTGACTTCATTGTAAAATTGGCCCCTAACTTGTTGGCATGTTGTTAGATAAGAGTGCAAAATGAGATTTAAACAGAATTGCAGACGCTTAAAGGCACTCGCGAAGCGTTGTGCATAGCACGAATGTCGAATTAGCAAACAGTTGAAACTTGTTTACAACAGAGACAGTCTTGGTTCTTATATATAACAGCATAACATAATTTGGTTCATAACTAGTAACTACACGATCTTCACCACGTAGCCCGGAAATTGTTACGCCGATTTCAGAAATACGGCCGCCTCTCCGCGAGAATATTGAGATGTCAGTATAGGATGGCAGAAGTTTTCTCTTTAAACAGGTTTGACTGAAGACCTGTTTTTTCAATATAACCAACAACATTTATCGTTTACATTGTAAATAGATGCATGTAATGATGTACTTGGGGGAAGGAGGCATATCAGCCACAAATGTCGCTAAAGTGATCCCGGGACCAAGGGTTGGTGACGGCCGAAGGAACACGCGAGCTCAGATGTTACAACGATCTGCTCATGGTTGAATTAATACACGTAATACACGTATTAATTCAACCATGGATCTGCTGGTCTCAGGGAACTCAGACTTCGCAGCTCTCTGATGCAGAGCCCAAACCTATTGCATCACATTTGTAACTGGGTGCCCTCAATTCGTTTTTTCTATTCGTTTTCTGTCACTGCAGAAAATAAGTTTCATTGGGTAACCAAATAATATTGGAACGTTGAGAAGGAAACGACAAATAATTGTTTTGACGAATAACATATTTTACTTGTCTATTCATTTATACACGACTATCATAATAGTATTACACGCATAAATATTTTACTGAGAACTGATCGAGTATGCATACACAAAACCCATCACAGTATATACAATAAATTCACGCGCGGCGCTTCAACTTAAAAATTGCGTCTAGCCACGCGAGCTTCGATTACAAACTAGACACAAGGAATGCGTTGTGAAACATCAGGCGAATATCCTCTCTACACAAACAGACAAAGTTTAAGGCGAGTGAAGTGAGCTAGAAAATTTTAAAAATGAGAGGTAAAAGCAGTACCCTATCGAAATTCGAAGACCTGTCAGCCGCTGGCACACGGACGCCCCAAGTTCTTATGGCCGGGTAAATTAGAAGCTCTATGTCCNGAACAGCACGTCGGCCACGGCATCGGCGGCCACCGGCGCTGCCACGCCCGTCTTGAGGCCACCGCGCCTCTTCTTCAGGAACTGCCGACTGTCGGGGCAACAATTGCAGTTCGTCAGCAAACGGCACGGGAACACATTTGTTCTCAACAATCTCTGGTGAACACTTGTCTGCTGTTCGCAAGCGTTCAAACTCTTGGAATTATTTCATTGTAAAGTGGCGCTGTTTACTACAAATAGATTTAGTAACAAACTGAGAACAACAGCGGTCTATAATCTAGCTACTTACAACGCGTATGTTGCAGGTGCTTGGTGTAGGAGGTCTGCAGGCACGGTCTTCTCTATTATTCTACACAAGACCGGGTCTGAGGCCATAAGCTGCAGACCGGCGTTCATGTAGCATGAATTGTTGCTATTCATCAGACCACAGGTTGGCAAGCTCTGCGGAGTTGTGTCGAAGCCGTCTATTTAGGGAAGAAAAAGTTGAACTTATTATAAACACATTGCTTAAGACAAACGATATAAATAAATTCAAACTGAATACATAAAATGTAATTTTATCATATAATTATATATCCATTATTTATAATGCCAATAAATTTAGTGAGCTATTCAATTCCTACTATGCACCACCAAAAATATATTTTAATTAAAAGTACGCAGCTGAATAGATCGATAGCTTATGCAGAACTAAAACTGTCAAGCTATAGGTACACAGTGGTTAGGGAGATGCTGGTTTAGAACACGTACGGTAATTACATTTTATTGTTTACCGATACAGGGCTGGTGATGAACTGTCGTATGAGTAAATTTATCTGACCAGGTTGACACGGAACATGAGCTATTTCTTTAGTGGTTTAATTTAAGAAGTAAGGATGGTTGCTAGCCCGGCTGTTATTAGCAATATTATCTATTTACGCGGAATTAATTCGTATGTGGCTTATTATATCATATTCCTACCTGATGAATAATTATTTTTTATAACCGCAGCGGGACAATCAACAAAGCAATCTCTATGCATTTGTTCCTATATTCCGCGACATGAAACTTATCGCGATATAGAAGAGCTGGGGCTGCTTAACATATTTCTGTGGCGAGCTCGTAGCAAATTGTTAAGTGTCTGCCGCTTATATATTAAATGCACATTCTAATTACTAATTGTAATGCTTTTAAATGCGAATTGTTAATACCTGATTACCGTGTACGAGTCTTTGTGGAGAATTTTTCACTTATACTCCTTGAATTAACTTACACAATCAAGGCACAAAGACCAGGCTGCTTAACGTCAAACGCCATATTTTAGACTTAATCCAGCGGTTCATCCGCAATAAAAATAAATCAATATTTTCAGCAACATGAACAATTAAATAAACATTCGCTTTGTTTAAATTTCCTTTTAACCAAACCATTTGACGTAATAAAAATAAACAAGCAAATTTCCTGCTTGTGCAGCTCAGCTGTTTTGAAAGAGATTATTAACAATCGATAGGAAGTTCTCTATGAATTAGAATTCATTTAAACTCCCTTGATTAGAATCAAATATTCAAAAAACCCTATACTATTATTGCCTTAATCAACGAAAACTAAACCAATACAATAAAAATGCAAGAGTCGTGGTGATAAATCACCGTATTGATGCCTCAACAGCTGCCATACTCACCCTGAGGAGGAGGAGACTTGTACTGCAGGACGCCCGCCAGGATATCTGACTTCGCCTGCAAATAATGACAAGTGACGTGCAATTAGGCGGGGGTATTGATGAATAAATGATTAATTATCAATAATATCAGTAATATAGTTAATTAATGAAGGGAGGGAGGAAAGATGATTAAAGTCCGGAAAAAATGAGTCAAAAGCGAATTTAGGAAAAAGGGTATCTATAGAGTCGCTAAATATCTGTGGATATTCAAGAGAGTCACGCCTCATGTTGTTGAATCTCGTTGATCAAAAGAGGAGATGTTTAAAGTCCCTCTTTTAATTTCACGTTGTTTTTACATTTCATGTTTTCTTTCATTATCTCAATAAATTAAAACAAACAAAATGTGCTTTTATTCTTGTTTCACATAAATAGTGTAGAAAGTTTCAGAAAGCTCGGTCAGTTAATAAAAAAAGTTTTTATTTTCGGAGGGTAGACCCTAACCTTAAACTTAAGCTTTGTGCCAGAATAAAATAATCGTTTTCAGAATCACCACATTCATCTGTCATGAAGTATTTCTCAAACTCTTCCTATGAACGTGCTTCTCCGTTCCTTATTTGCCGTCATTTTCGCTTTTTTGCACCAATTAAATAAGCATATTTCGCTCCTTCATAGTAAGTTTTACACAGCTTATATTATAACCTTAACTTGTATAATTTCTATCAATGTATATCAAATTATATGAAATTATAGGGTTAATTCCATGTCAATTGTCCCATTTTTAACAGTCAGCGCCACCTAACCATCACCGATTTAGATGAAATTCCATACATAAGTTGGATCATATTTCAAACCAACTTTGCCAAAATTTCAGTTCTAAATATGAAAAATATTTAAATTAGAGGACCCTCAAATTAAGAAGTGGTGGGGTTTGCCTGCAGTATCACCGACAATGTATGAAGATAAAAGCAAAGATGTTCACTAATCGTAACATTCAACTTCCTAAAATATTTGCCGGGTAAAAAATATAAATCAATTGAACACAAATATATGATCGAACTTGAAATTTGAATGCGTTCCAGGGGCAGCCTTTTGAAAAGTGGCAAATTTTAAATATATCAGAAATCAGTAAAAGAAAGTTACCGTAGACGGAAAATAGAAAAGGATAAAACGAGATTTGACATTGGAGAGTAGAGAAAAAAACGTGGTGCTCAGCTTAGGAAATTTGTTCCACAGCAAATACTTTGAAAGTTGAAATGAATATTTACTGATGTCGATGAGGAATTGATCTATTAACTTGCCTAGGTTACCGTAAAATAATTATAGAGCTCAATAAATTAAGGAATGAGCAGCAAAAGACAAGGAATAAGGGAACTGGAAAAAGTATTAGAACTTGAGGAACTCCTGCAGCTGCGTTGGCTGAAGTTGAATAACTCGTCTGAAGCACGTCCAGGAATTAATAATTAAGATTTACATTATTAGGATTTAATTAATAATTAAGATTGACAATAATAATTGTGCGAAAGCTCGATGATGATTGAATGAAGGTTAGAACATTTGAACATTTTCCGAACCAAGTTTTCATCCCTTACTATAGAAGAACCCAAAGATAGAATCTAAGGAGCCTCTAAAGATCAAGGATTTGAGTCAAGCGATAGACGCGCGATATGTCAATATGTAAAGATTTGTAAATTCATTTCCTTATCTTTCTGTTTTGACCACTGAACATTCACATGCATGCATGGGTATCTGAACAAAGTATTCTACTGCCTGTTGCAATGTAGTTCAATCTATTTCAAAGGGATTGCTTATAGTTACAATGCAATGTAATAATGAGCCGAATATGCAACATTTTTCAAACCAAGTTCTCATCCTTTACCAGAAGAACCCATTGCTAGAATTAACATATGTCATAGTACAGCATTTTTTTCACTTATGAATACCGTTTCAACAAAATTTGTATTCTGCAATTAATTTAGATTGGTGTTCAAACTTTATTGAAAAATTAAATAATTGAATGAATAATTTTGAAAATGAATAATATTCACTGACGAACATAAATGAATTATCTGCAAATATTTCGCAGATAATTCATTTATGTTATATAAATATAACATTTTACATAACATTATATATAACATTTCATAAATAATACAAAATGTTATATTTATTAAAAAACTGTAAAGGCATTGAAGAGATTTGTAAATAATAATAAGAGTCCCTGTAATATGAATCCCAAATTTCAAAATTTTCCAGACTTTGAGCTGAAATTTTGGCAATCGGATTAAATATGAACAAATTATGATATATGTGTGAAATTTCATCAAAATCGGCTATGATTAGGTGGGGACCTCTGGTATACCTGATGTGGAATATGGCTATATTAAATTTATATGATATTAGATCAAATCTATAAATATTTTATTTTTATAATTTTATTCAGGAGCATATTGATCGTGAAATTTGAGCTGGCAGTTTGTCACATACTGTTAGGATTGTGCCATCATTATTTAAGTCTTACATCTTCTCTCAAACGCAGCAAAACCTGAAGCTATTCTTGCTGTCTTCTTCCGTCCAACTTCCTACTCCTCTCACTGACTTCCTCTAAATTTCTAGAATTCAATTCTTCAGTCACTGAATCATCATACAGTATCAACATTGTACATTAGCACTGAGGAGACCACGCCTGCAGCGCTGAACTACACCACGCGCGCAACATTATTATTGTTTGCTGCTATTATAGAAGCAAATTGAATTGCAACCTAACGAGGGGCTGTTAGCTTGTTTTTTATTGATAAACAATACAATAAGAACAATACATAATACTTTTTGAAAACGTCGTTGGCTGTTCATTCAAAGTTTTCTTGTTGATGATTTCATTATTTAAAAATAAATTATTAAATCTAATTCGATTATGTAAATTCCTTCCAACATCGGTTCAAATAATCCAGAGATTAGCTCCGTTCAATTGATAATTTAATGGCTCGGTTAAAGTGATCACAACTTCGGAGTAATGACAGTTAACTATAAATTTAATAAATGATTTTCTCCAGCAGAACACGACTCCGTAAGCTCTTATAAATATAAAGCAAAATATTGTCAGCGATCAAAACTCACCCAGTTGCGAGACTTCTTGGTCTTTTTGCCCGTCTGGTTTCTGCCCATCTTGGTGGAGTAAAGGAGCGTTAGAACTTCGTACGCACACACTGACAACTCGACTGCGACTGGCGGTTGTGCCCTGCCCCTGCCTTTATATACCCTGAGCTCCAGTCCACGAAGGCCTATCCACGCACGTGGCTGATGAGATACCACGTGACAAAGAAAAATTGTATCGAATAATTTTTTTGCTTCGCAGATTTTGTTCGTTACATTAGTGGAGTTGAAGACCTCCTCGGCTTTCAAGACTCACTTAGAGTTCTTCTGGTCACTCTCGATTTAATTATCATAGATTTTTATCTCAATAAGACTAACATTTTAAACAAAAGAAAAATTGTATCGAATAATTTTTTTGCTTTGCAGATTTCGTTCCTGATATTGGTGGACTTGAAGACCTCCTCGGTTCATAAAAATCACTTTGAGTTCCTCTGGCTACTTGCGGTTTAATTATCAGAGATTTTTATCTCAATAAGACTAGCATTTTAAACCAAACGACTAACTCATGCGTCAAGTCGGAAAATGTCTAATGCTCTGGCATTAGTTAAAGCCTTATGAGAAATCTTCAGAATAACTAATTTACAGATTATTACTCAGTATAAATTCTGAATACAAATTATGATCCGGGCATTTCAGCTGCTTGAAACGTTTTATCATCTCTAATCATCCGAGGCTTAAATGCTGGCGTCTAGTATTGTTTCTTAATTATAATTTAGATTGATATATGAATTTATCTGGCCATTATTCTTTCGGTCACTTTGCCGCCTTGTCTTCCTTCTCATATGAAAAGAAACGCATAATTTGATTACATCTTACCTGATGGTTGCGGCTCATTGATGTCCTTATCAAGGCTGTTTTGGGTTGTACGTTTTCCCTGGCAAGTCAACGTAATAAATTTCAACAAAAAAACGTGTTTTAAGAAACAAACAAACATCAATTAATTAAATGGAACATAATACTTAGATTATTATAGGAATTTTCTAGTTTTTTACAACATCAAGCGCTGTTAAAATTCTTGTCATTCCCAACATAGGCATTGTCATAATTTGTCTTAATTTATTATCATTTTCCCCTTTCCGAATCGGTCATATATTAAAGTATTAAAAGTATTCGTAATTATTTTGCTGGATTCTTAAAATCAAAAATTATTTGCCATGCTCATCACTATTCGTATTAATCCAGTTCCGGAAGATGAGATGAAATTAGATGGTAATTTCCGTCTTCAGCTTGAAGCTTACACCTCATATTACCATCAACATGTTATAGTGTACGATTATTGTAGTGAAGGAAATGGAGGCAATAAAATACGAAGAAACGCTCCAAGACAGCGAACAAACAAACGAGTATTGAGATTACGAGCAATCACCGGCAGACGAGATTATTAGACAGATTATTTTTACAACGCGTGCACAGCAATAAAAACAAGCACTTGATTTCATTTGTTATGTTTTATAATTCATGAAACGGTTTCAATGGTCGTACAATACGCATAGTAATTAAATTGTTTTTTTTTTTGTTTTCAGAAAATATTAAATAATAAAATATACGTTCGATACATGTAATAATACGTTTATGCATGTAATAATTATAATATAGATGCGTAAACAATACTCTTCAATCCAGGCAGCCCTCCAAATTTTTAGACCTTGGGCGTGCAAACTTGTTAAACGAAAGTTCAAATTGAAAATTTTTTTGTAATCAGAGGAAGCTTCAATTTGGTTTGTACATTTAAATTGAAATTTAAAACGTCGGAAAAGATAAATATCATTTTGTTATGCGAGAACTTAATGCATCTCGCAGGTGTATTACCTGCCAAGAACAAAGCATTACAATGGAGAAAGTTGTCCGTAGCTAAACTGCACCTATATACGGTCAAATATTAAGCTCCAGAGGTTAATTTTTTTGTCCCGACACTAGGCTGACCTGACGCGCCTGATTTGCGTGAAGAGACTCGAACATCCCATGACAAAGAGCGCGCGTGTGTTTCACTGGGCACAAAACTGGGCAAAAAATTCTGTTTACAAATTGAAGATATTTTAACTCGCTTGTGAGGCCGAATTCCCTGAAGACTGAGCTTTTAGTTACGCTTGACTGGGTGGAATGAGTACAGCTTTCTGGTTGAATAATTGAAGATTACTCATAAGCTGTCGATTTGTTTTAAATTGGAATAAGGCAAATAATTAAAAAATATAGTAAAGGATTAATGCATGTTCATTAATATGTTTCAAACCTTTTTCTCAAATCATGCAATACTAAGTAATTACGATAATAACGATTAAGAACTTCTCGGAGGTCAATGAGAGGATAAAGTTGCATTTTCTACAGTTTATTTCTGAATGTGATCGCTATTTCAACATTTTCTGCCTCAACGGATGTTCGTAGTTCAGCACGATTAACTTTTTACTACCTCACTAACAGATCTCATGAGAGCAACTTGGATATTTCCAAGCTGGTACATCGCTTTGTTACCAGCGGAACTTAGTTAAGTCTCACGTGTATGCCGAAGACACGCGCTCAACTTACACAATTTGTTCGTCTCTTGGACGATATTCTTTGTACGCTTGAGCCTATAGCTTAGAATTGTTTGTGGCAAGCAGCGCAGGTAGCGGCCTTTGTTTTACTATCAGCCTACAAACTTTCAGGGGCAAAATGTGAACTCTCACGCTTCGTAAACAAACTATACACATGCTGAGTATGATATGTGATGTATACTGTGTATTTTCAAATTTTGAATGCACAGTGTATTTTAGTATCCTTGTACATTTTTAAACTTAGGCCCAGTTTGAATTCAGCTGTTAGATCGTATCCCCTTGAAATTGTGAATAGATATTTTTTGTGCTCTGTCTATTATTTATAAATTTAGGTTTCTGATTACGTTCTGTGCTTTCAATTGTATTAATTTGTGACTTTATATATGAATTCTAGATTCTACGAACTGAATAGGAGCAGGACTCCGAAACCTTTTCTGTACACATATGTATTTTTGAGGACTATATATTCTTTGCGTTTAAATTTTTAGTCAACTTGGGATGTGTGATGTGAGATGTTTTATGTGTTATGTGAGATGATAGATGTGTGATGTGTGATATGAGATGTGTGATGTGAGATGTGTGGTGTGAGAGGCGTGATGTAAGATATGTGATGTTTGATGATAGAAGTGTGATGAGTGACGTGTGATGTATCACGTGAAATAGGAGATTACGAGACAAGACCGAGCTAATATTGCTGACCTGCCCTGCCCTTTGAATCGTGAAATTCTAATCCCATCACAGAATTAGCCTTAACCAGAGTAACCATTAGCAAAAAACACTTTGAAATAAATTTGTTTAAAGTAAAAATGGCTGTAAATTATTGTACAATTCCCGAGTTGCGGTGGCATAAGCGAGCTGCACTTGATGGCATGACTGTCGCCCGCCTCGCTGACGCTGAACTAACTT